ACAACACAAGTATAGTATAGTAAATAAAAGAAATGCTTGGAAATTAAGGAATGACTAGATCTAGAGTCAAATAAAATATGACATTGATGCTAAAAAATATAAATCATACCTGTCAAAACATCTAGATCATCAAGAACCACCTACTTATTCAAACTATATATATGTGGCTAAATTGGAGTTAGAGCAACAAAACTACTAGGCTCTCTCTAACCACTACCACATGGCTTCCTTTCTACTAAACCCAAACCATTAACTCTATCATATGTTACCTAAAAAATAAAGTACGAAGAGTAACTTCCCTCGATCTCTCTGATAGTTTGATAAAGCACTTAGATCTAGACTCTAAATGTCGATCAAATTCTGCATGTGGACACTCTGCTACCTGATGCCTTGTTTGATTGCATTTAAAGCACTATCCAATGATCCTATAGCATTGGCCAGGATGGTATCATCCATAAATCTTGCACATAGGTTCCCCACTAACATAACCAGAATTAGCTATGTCCCCACTACTAGAGACTGCCATAGATGCCGACTCTCCATCTCTCCTAAAATCTCCAAGTGTAAATATACTCTTCTTCCCAAAAAAACCACTACCAAAAGTCCACCACTAAACCACTTCCTACTAGATGTCCACTGCTGCTAAGTAGCCATCAAGTCATTCTCTATAAAATGAGCTCTCTCCATAAGCTTAGAGAAATAAAAAATATGAAATGGCACTAGAACTATCTCAGACTATTCCGAAGTCTTCTTAAGAACCTGTAGCACTTCTCCGAAGGAGTTCTAACTACATGTGGAGGATATTTAACCAAATTCATAAACTCTGGCTCATACTACATAACTATTCTACTGCCCTTAACTAGCCTAAAAAATGTCTCTTACATTTATTGTCATGCAGAAGGTGGTATAAACTAGGCTATAAACACATCAGAGAACTCTTTTAAGGTAATTAGAGAGTTCAATCTCCCATAAAAGTTTTCCTTATGTTGGCCCATCCAACAACGCTCTGCCTCTCCATATGATAGAAATACTACTAATGGTACATTCCTCTTAAGAGGACACTACATATTGTCAAATGCCTTTTCTAGCCTCCTCAACCAGTCCTTTGCTACTCTAGGTTCAACATTACCCTTGAATCTTGGAGACTTCAGTCTCAAAAATATATGTAGATGTCTGTCTACCCCTTTAGATATAACAACATAAACCTAGCTTTGTGCCTCACCCATTATTTTGGCTATTAAAGTAGTAAACTATGAAATTTCATCTAAACCAACTGTTGGAGCAGCATTATATACAGAAGCTTCGTGACAAGCACTCTGTCCATCTGTCATATATGGATACAGTGTATCCATGATCACACATAATATGTAATTGAACAAATATGCACTTAACATAAAGATAATGAACACCTAGACAGACTTCAAATAGCCCCAATATAATTATTACAAATTAATTCTTAAGGCTCTATTTTATAATCCAATTTCAAAATTATTGTTCTGATACAACAAAAGCTTGTCAAATCTCAACACAATAGAATCTATTTTGGTTGGGTTGGGTTATGACACTCATCATCTGCCTGATCTTTCAATACTTCATACTTAGCATCTCTATTTATTTGCGACAAGAACAAATCTATAATTGAGGCATTATAATCAATGTCATCTAGGGAATTTATAAATATTGGGGCTTAGGCTTCCTCAACAATCTTTACTGCAAGCGGATTAATAATATTATTAGATGTTCCCATCATTGAGGAAGATTCTACTGGCCACTATTTGATATGCTTTGTAGGTAGGAAAGTTCTCTAGCATAAACTTCTCTATGGAAGCATATTTAGCTTCCTCCCACTTCTGTTCAAATATATGATGTTCCAATGTAATCACTCACCTCTCAAGAAGCCTAGCCGTTGATTCAACCTTCACCAATCTATTATATAAAAATTTGCATTATAAGATAATATTGGTGATAGCTTTCTTAAAGCTCCAATGATTTGCATCCTTTATTTTTATAGGTTGAGAAGTTCTCTTCTCTATGTGTGTGTACGTGTGTGTGTGTGTGTGTGTGTGTGTGTGTGTGTGTGTGTGTGTGTGTGTGTGTGTGTGTGTGTGTGTGTGTGTGTGTGTGTGTGTGTGTGTGTGTGTGTGTGTGTGTGTGTGTGTGTGTGTGTGTGTGTGTGTGTGTGTGTGTGTGAATAAAATAAATTCCTATAATGCACAAGTTCTAAAATGTTGGATGCACCCACTATTATAATATGTACAAAGCCATTCATATATCTAGTGGTCTACCTTTGGCAAACTTCCTAGCAATCACATCGAACTTGGCTACTAAGAAAATTTTAATGGATGCTGGCTAGTTATAAGATGTAAATTGATCTACATTACATGCTAGAGTAAGGATCATAGCTAGGGTTCGATAGTTATATATTGGAAAGATTAAGTTGAACAACAAAAAATGATAAATTTCTTCACAAGTTGGGGAAGCGGAGTTAATTTGTAGAGATTAAGCATCTCATGTTTAATATCAATTGAAGATTTCCTAGGGATTCTCACATTTCCCAACTCGAATGCAGTTCCTCTATTGGGCAGTCCTATGATCAAAATAATTTCATCTACAATGAATGGTAACTTATGCCCCATGATGATGTAACATTACTTCCGAATATCCCACATTGATAATAACATGTATACCAAGGGAATATTCTGACGGAAGCAATGCATCAACAAAAAGTGATTTATGTGCAGTTGGTTTAGTCTACCCACAAAAGCTTGGGCAAAAGTATCGACCAAATGATCGCTGATATCTCTGAACGGTTAAGTTTTGCAATAAAAAGTTATCTTTGGAATATATCCCTGCAAAATTATGTGTAGTGGTTAAGAACAAGATGCTAATGTAGCAGTACACAACATTAAAAATACAAAAACTAAACATAAACTTCACTAAAAATGTTCTATGAACTTGAACATCTGAATGGATAACAAATTAAAATGGTACATAATAGTACAAATCAACGGTACATAGCAGGATACAACATTACACATCAATGGTACACAACACTAATAAGTATATGAAATGAAAAACATATGACTAAAAATATTCTAATTATTTCATCATGAGAATAAAGAACAATACACAACAATATAAAGTTGTACACAATACCAACAAGTATAAAAATTGAACAAAAATATCCCTGAAAATGTTCCATTAACTTCATCATACAAATAGAAAATAGTACACACCGATACATAACAACGGTAGGCAGTAGTAAATGGTATGAAAATGAACCAAATAATATTGAAAATATATTATTAACTTCATCATGCAAATAGAAAATAATACACATCCATCCACAGTAGTACATAACAAAGGTAGATCAATAGCAAATTTATAAAATGAACAAAAACATCACTGAAAAAGTTCTTTTAACTTAATTATTCGAATGAAAATGAGTACACAACAATACACAATATACAAAGCTTAGTTCTAAACCATGTGAGAAAACATTATACAACAACATGCAAATGTTCTAAACACTAAACCTAAACCCCAACAACTCTATTATATAAGAAAAAACATATTACATGACATTTACATAACAAATAAAACCTACAAATTTGGGAAAAAGCACTTGTTCTTTCCTGGGAACATAAAGCTGACCTTAGCCATTGCTTCTACGATGAAAATCTCTAGCAAAAAGGAGCTTCAAAAGATGAAGAGTGACTGAAATAAGAGAATTTGAAAGGCCTCATTATTTAATTTTCCACTAAACACCTCTGTTCTCTTAGTAAAAAGTCACTTTTTGCCTCTAGAACAGGTTAGGTCATCGAGTCAAGAGATAAATTAAAAAAAGACATAAAAAATATTATAATTTCATTGGGTTAGGTCGTTGGGTCGTCGGGTTGTTGGGCCACCATAGGGCGGCATGATATTGGATTTCAGACATAGAGCTACATCTGGAGTCCACACCAAATAATTTTTCTGTGAATTGGCTATTGCTTCAACTAGATCAATACATTTTTGGGGTTAGTATCCCATAATCTTTTTTGAGATGGATGTTAACTAATTCTTGATGTTTTCTAAAGCAATTAATACATTTTTTTCATTTCATTCTCAATAGTAAGTTAAAGTTAACCAGTCGCGGGTTATCCTTTCGAAGTCCCCTTCGTTGCATCTTCAAATGGAAATTTTCTTTTTTAAGGAGCTATTAATTTTGCTAAAAAATAATGCATAGTAATCTTATAAGTAATTGTTGGCGTTGCCTTGAATTTGTCTAAACCCTTAACTACAAGAAAATGAGTTAATACTGTCAAAAAAAAAAAAAAAGAGACAAAAAAGGTCGCTAAAGATATCTTTTACCAACCAAAAGTAACTAAGGACTCTAAATAAAAAGGAAAGTTGATATTTGTTCATATCCTTAATCATTGTATGCTTCGCAAATATGCCAGGAGTTCAAGGGGGCAGCGCCCCCTGGCAAGGTTCAACCTACCTGGTCAGGTGCCACTGGAATAAATTTTGATTGTAAGGATATTTTTGGAATTCAAATTAATAAATACAATGATAAATTCTTTTTATTATTTCTCTATGTATTAGGTTCATAGTTCCTTAACAACATCACCTCTACACAATGTGTTTAACAAATTTTGATTGTAAGGATATTTTTGAAATTCAAATTAATAAATAAAATAATCAATTCTATTTACTATTTTTTTTTTATATTTGATTCATCATTCTCTAACAATAACACCTATACACAATGCATTGAATTATGTTGGGGACAATTGCCTAACGATCATAAAATTTTTAAACTTTTTGGGGGGCAATTGACTAAAAATTCTTATATTAAAGACTAAAAAATAAAGAAAAGAGAACAAATTATTACAAAAAATCATGTAATAATTTTTTTTAGAGGAAACAATTGTGGCTCACCCCAACCCCGACAATTGTGGCCCACCCCCCACACCCCCTACTCTCAGCACAATGGGGATCCGCCCGACTCGCACCATATTTACATCCCCGATCCCAGCTCGTCGCCCTTTTCTCAATTTGCCGAGCCTTAACGCCGTCATAATTTTCCATTAAATACCATCTCCGATTCCGGAAATCCCCAAAGCAGACGGCGGCGGATCGATCTTCTCTTCCATTAAAGCCGTAGTCCGATATCTCAAATTCTCTCTTCCAATCTCTTAAGCAGACTCGTCTTCTCAAGCAAGAATGCCTACTGGTATGAACTTCAGCTGAACTTCTCACAATGATTACTCCCTAATGGAAGCAATTGCTTCCTTCTTGAATTCCCGGACATTTTTTTTGATTAATTCATTAGCGTTCTGATTGTTCATCTGTTATGCGCCATTTCAACAGTGTAGATTACTTTAGTTTACGTTTTATCATTTGATACATTACGGCGATCCTTGATTACTGTGCTGCGTGTTGTATTGGGATGCCTTGTTGTTTTATTCATCTTGTTTAATCTATTTAGTGAATCAGATGATCACTTGTTCTGTACGGCGGGCTGCATCCGTTGTTTTGGTATGTACAGCCTCTTAGCTTTGTCTGGTGGCTGACCTCTGATGAAAAAAAATGCTATTAGGCCTTTACTAGTTGTAGTTAAAATGCTTGCCCTTTATTTGATTGATATGAAATTAGTTTGCCAATTTCTTCTTTGAACAGTGCGTTATGTGGAAGCCCATATAAATATCACTGCTTTCTAAAATGTTGTTTTTCTTCCTTTTGAGGTTTAATCTAAGTTTTAATAAATTCTAATGGAAGTATTATTTAAGAGATTTACAATTCTCATTGTGCTGCCGTTCTCCTCATTTAAATTCTAGATATTGAGAATATCTATCAAGTAATTTATTAGTATTTAGTTAAATTCGAGATCTATCATGCAATTTTGTCTTCAGGAATTAATCCCTTAAAGATTTATTAAATTTGGATTTACATGGTTTACTAAATCCTGCTTGAATTAAATCCTACTCTAGTGTATCTTATATGAAATTGTTTTTTTGGGTTTTATAGATCTTGAAAAGCATCAAGGCTGCCAAGCATAAGAAAATGATACATGTGCTCTTGCTGAATAATATTCAACCTACCTTGCAAAATTGCAATAGTGGATTTATTGTTGTTGGGAAAGGAAAACCTATTTGGAGAATTATATATTGTTCTTACTTGGTATGACGTAAGAACCAAAGGCTATCAGTAATTGATATTATGAATTACATAAAGTTGAGGAGCATAACTTGGAAATTTTTTTTTGAACTAATCCACACATAAATCACAATAAGTGATTATGAAATATGTAGTTAATTGAAAATTTTGGATTGATATGCCACTAGAAAATTCATATGATAAAATATGGATTTTGATACAATTTTTTGATCTTAAAGCATCTAGTTAATTGGGCTCATAATTTCAACAATTGATTCTGTGACCATCCAAACTTTATTTTTTGAAAACTTGTAAATGAGACAAGTGTAGTTCGGCGAGGCGAACCCAGTTATATATAGTTAGCTTGGATCAAAGTTCAAAGTCATAATAAAAAACTTTTTGAGGTAATTTGGAGAGCTAAGCATGCTCCAAATATTACATTCTTATAATCAAAATACCTATCTCAATGAGACAACTCTAACAAGTTCAAAATCATTCAATTTGAGTTCATTAAGGCGTTAATTTTTCCAAGAAAAACACAATTATCAAGGACATATTCATACTGTTCAATGGAGTGTCCAAGTTTCTTCTAAAAAGAACCTTAAAGCTCTCATTTTCAACAAAAAAAAAAGATTTTTGTTGAGTATTATAGATCTTTGCCCTCTGTTTTTGAATGTTGGCCGTCTTTCAACTTCGATGCCTCCATTGTTCACGGAAACAAGAAATGCATAGCTTAACCAGAAGATAGATGAACAAAGAACTTGATTTGAGATGGTCCTTGGCACAATAAATTGGTGATTCTAGCTAAAAACCCACAAGAACCGGCTAACTTTTTTTTTTTTTTTTTAAAAAAATTAAGAATTGGCTAACTTGTGTTCAAACACAAGGTGGTTTGATCAAGTATTTTCCTATTTCGATTGGATTACATCAAGGATCAGCCTTAAGTCCATATCTTTTTGCTTTAGTCATGGATGTTCTCACTAGACATTTGCAAGAGGATGTACCTTGGTGTATGCTTTTTGCTGATGATATTCTTCTTGTTGATAAGACTAGAGAGTGAGTTGAAGGTAAACATGAATTATTCAGGTCAACTTTAGAGTCTAAAGGTCTTCACTTGAGTAGATCTAAAACTGAATATATGGGATGTAATTTTAGTCACAATAGACCTAGTGAGGGGATTGTGATTTTGGGCGATCAAGTCATTAATAAGAGTACACGTTTTAGATATCTTGAATCTATTGTTCATAGTGATTGTGAAATTGATGGGGATATTATTAACAGAATTCAAGTTAGATGGTTGAAGTGGAGGAATGCACCGGGCTTATTGTGCGATAGAAAAGTCCCCCTCAAACTTAAGGGAAAATTCTATAAGATGGTTGTGAGACCTGCAATGCTTTATGGTGCCGAATGTTGGCCATTAAAAGAGAAGCATAATACTAAGTTAAGTGTTGCAGAGATGAGAATGCTTAAGTGGATGAGTGGCTTGACCCTTAGAGATAGGATACGAAATGAGCATACGTGAAAAGGTTGGAGTAGCTCCAGTAGAAGATAAGATTAGAGAAAGTCGCCTTAGATGGTTTGGTCACATAAAAAGGCGGCCTTCCGACGACCCAGTTAAGAGAGTAGAGGTATTAGATTTGACTTATGTTAAGAAAGGTAGGGGTAGACCTAAAAAGACTTGGTTAGAAAATATTAGGAATGACCTTTCTTTATTAGATTTAAACGAGAATTTGACTTTTAATAGGACACAATGGAGAAAAAGGGCCGACTCCACGAGTGGGACGAAAGGCTTGATGTTGTAGTTGTTGTTGTAAGAATTGGCTAACTTGTAATGATTAGAAAGTCTATGATCAAGAATTCTAACAGACTTTTGCACTTCAGCCATATCACTTTACTACTGGCTGCAGAATTTCATATTCCACTCTCTGGGAAATATGTCCTGGTTTTCTTCCCTTAGCGGACGGGAAGATCAACAGGTTTGAATTGCTGACCTCACTGCCCCTAACTGAGAAGTGAGAAGATACCCAGTGTGCTGCTTTCCAATAGGCATTTACCTCTGGAGTGACTATCATAGCCCACAGGAAAGACCACTCGACAACTGATGAAATGACCATGATAAGGCTCAAGAATTGCTGGAGGAATAGTGTCAGAGTGCTTGATATTGTGTGGTGAATCCCATACTCCACTACGTTCTCCTTGCCTCTTTGCCCATCCAGAGTGGGCAATTCTCCCCAAAATCAGAACACATCTTACTCAACAAAAACTCCCTTTCTCTATATAGGATGGGTATTTATACGCTTAATATCCAAAATAATATATACTTAGGTCCCCTTATTTCTAATTAAGCTTGTAAAAGAAAGAAAAGGAAACAATCCCTCGTATTAATATTAATTAGGGAAGGGCCTCCAAAGACTAAATGCGTCAATAACCATTTTGTTTAGGAAACCTTTTTGGTTTAAAATAATTCATAGTATCCTCATTTTAGTCCATGTTATATATATATATATATATATATATATATGTATGGTATTCCTTGTTTACTCTTAATCATTGTTCTGCACGTGATTGACTATTTTTTCAGGTTTACTCTCCTTTTTTTAAATTCATATTGACTTGTTTAAAAATGGAATTCTACACAGTAAGTGTGAAATGGCAAAAAGAAACTTTTCCTGCGGTTGAAATAGACCCAATCAGCCTCCTTATGTTTTAAGTGTCAGTTGTATGACCTAACTGTGTACCTCCTGAAAGGCAAAGAATCATGGTGAAAGGTGGTCTTCTGAAGGTATGGGATTTGCTTTACCAAACTAGACATAAGTGAAGATTTATGATATAAAGAGCATGTTATTGATTTTCATTTCATTGTTTTAGGATGATGCAGACTGGTCTACTTTAGGTGTAAAGGAGGTGTTCCCATAATTACCTTCAATTCCTAACTCTGTCTTTTGCCCTTTATTTTTACATTTTTTTCTTATAGGGACAAAGGTTGATGATTGATGGGTACAGCTGATGAAGCTGTTAAAGCTCCAGAAAAAGTCCTGTGTTTATGGAAGATCTTCCAGAAGAAGAACAAATAGTTAATGTGGTAAGCAACCAGCCTAATCTTCTGGCGAGTGAGACCACCTAGACGGCCTTTTGTAGTTTTTGAAGTGTACCTTTGATTGTTCAAATATTCTTAACAAACATATTATTAGGGTGCTGCAGCCTGCTATAATATATATATATATATATATATATATATATATATATATAATATATATATATATAAATATAATATAATGAATGACTCATCAACATCATTTTAACAGATAAAAGACACATATCATACACTATCTATTTCCAATTACATAAGATGCATTAATCACTCTTACAAACAAAGAAACTACACCACACACTCAAGAGGACTAAATTTGGCAACAACTTTGTTGCCCTTAGAGATCACATGCTCGGCCAGCCCATTAGGAAATAACAAGGCACAAAAGTTTGAATATCTTGAGTGGTAATGGTTGACTTTTGTTGTAGCAGCCAAGGCGAGAGCTCTCCTATGGAAGCTTTTCAAAAATTTCTGATGAAATGGTTCATAGTGCTCTTCATTGGTAGAGATCCAGGGGGAACTAATTCCGAAGTTGAATTATATTATACTTGGAAGTTAATCTATGGTTGATTGTGTACAGGTAATTTATCTTGCACAAGTTGGGGAAAGAACTCTAAAGTTTAGTTAGTTGAGATTGAGAACCAAAACAATGAATTGGGATGATGAGAGTAGAGAATTTTCCTGTGCAATCAGTAGTCAAAATTTTCCATGAATATCATGACTAATTAATGTTATTGAAATTGAGTAAATGAATGAATGAACCTGTATGGATCTCCAATCATGAAAGTCATCTTTATCTTTTATTTTGTCATTTTTCGTTAAATCCTTTATCTTTTCAGATTCTGTAATTCTTAACATCTTTGATGCCAAACTAACTTAAAAAGTGCAACTATATGGTCGTTGCAACCAAAAGCAGAATAACTGACCACAATGAACAACCACAGCATGGTTATTCCATGTTGCCATTAGCCAAGGAAATTTTATGTTAACGCCAACAACCAAAGTTTTAGTATATTGACACAAGTTATAACGGACTGTGCATAATCTAAGCATAGTCATCCTATTTAAAAAATGGGCTTTGCTAAAAAACAATTAGTGATGAGGACATTCACAGTGAGAGTTTACTAGCGAAGAGGTTGGACATCTACGGCCATAATTACACCCATTTATTTCTAAGCTTTTATTTGTATTTGATTTATTTATGTGTTTTTCGATTTTACCCTCTCGAGGGAGTAGGTCAGTACCAGGGACTTTTGTCGTTTGGTTTTATCATTCTATTTCTATTTATAGCCCCTTCTTTCTTGGGAGGAATGATGATGATTATGAAGGAACTCTTGTGAGAGTCTAAGTCCATGGTGAGGGCAGCAATATTACCCACCACAGGAACGTCCGAGCTCTAGTCACCTCTTCCACCAACCTCCTTCCTCTCTTCTCCTTAAACCGTTGGCCACCATCTCCCATCCTCTCTCTCTGGCTGAACCCCACACCAACCCTCGCTGGACCCCTCCACCTCTTCCCCTTTCTCACTTGGCCGAACTCCACCCAAACCCTAGGCCAAAACCACTCCTTCCTCCTAGCCGCCGGCCCAGAAAACCACCCATCCTCCTTCAAGCCGCCGGTCCCCCAACCTCCTCTTCCCCGCCTTGCCGCCGGCCTAAACCGCTTCCCCTTCCCATAGCCGGCCACACCCCTCCTTTGAAACCCTAATTTTCAAACATCTCCTAAATATTTTCCAAAATTTAGTGTCTAATAATTTGGAAAGTCATTGAATTAAATTCCAATCTAATTCAAATCCTAAATCTCTTTCTATTTAAAGAGATGAGTTATATTAGGGAAGTTGCCTTATTCATGCCAATTCAAGTTTAATTGGTGTTTGGATTTAAAAACTATTTCCTTAACAAGTAGACAAGATTTGGCAACTCTTTTAATTCCCCAAATCCCCTCCCTTATCCTAGGCTTGGCCGGCCCCTCCCCTCCTCCTTTCCCTCTTTGTTTGGAGAATTCAAATTCAAACTTTCCCCTCCTCTCTAGACATTAAAATCCAAATTAAATTTCAGATTTTGAATTGCCTCCCTTCCTTTATCAACACACAAACTCCGGAGCTATTTCCACTCTCCTTCCTCTATGGCTGACCCCCACTTCCTCCCCCCCTTTCTACTTGGAATTAGTCCTTCTAACTCCCTTCCCCTGAACATCGATTCCAAAGGATTTCCACCTCGCAAAATCTGCTGTCCGGATTTCCTGGACATAAAAATTGCTGTCCAGAAATTTCAGCAAAGGCCGTTTGCTGTCCCGCTGTTCGGAAGTCCTTTGCCTACCGTCCAGAAGTTCCCCAACCCATAGTTTGCTGTCCACTCATGTATGGCTGATCCGGAGCTTAATCACGGCTTCGTTTTCGACAATCAAGGGTTAATCGACATTCTCCGATCTCCGTTCTTCGACATAGATCTTGAGAACGACATCTCATTCGAAGAGTACGTGGAACAAATCCTCTTCTTCCTTGCAACCGCTTTTGATCAACGACAACCTCCCATTCAGTTGCAACTCTCTTCCGAATCTTGACAAAGGTGAACTCTCTCCCGAATCGTATTCCTTCCAAGTCTTCCTCAATTGTGGTATCATAAAGATTATGCAAGCTTTCTCCACCTATCCAATTACTAAGAATGTGAGTGAGAGATTCTAATAGTGACTACTCTAAATGTTAATTTAGGGATTTCCTTTGAAAACCTCCATATAATGCAAAGCTTGATTTGAACTGGTTATTTTGTGCTCCTAACTAATATCATGTTACTAATTGCCTAATCTAATTATCTCTTTATTGTTTTCAATCTGTCATTTAAAATTGCTTGAAGTTGTTCTTACTCTTCGTCCAACATTTAATTTTCAATTAAACATCAACCTATGCAGATAGTTCTACATCAATTAGCAATAGCTTAAATATATTCAAATGCACAACTAATACACAAAATAAATGAAACACCAATAACTAAAAGTGTAAAATAATATTTATTCAGTAAAAAAAATCTAATTACATTTAATCAATCACAAATTTTCTTACATTCCTCAACAATTCACCCTTCTCCATGCAATTTTCAAAAGTACTTTCATCAAAGGCCTCATAATGTACTACATTCTCCTTTACAATTACATTTTTCAAAATACTGAATCCATCTTTTATGTATGTGAGAGTGTCAGTAGCATATGTAGCAATCATTTTGAACCCTCCCATGAACTTCTTGATATCCCTAAAGATAGTTATCTTCTAACTTATCATTGGCATTGTCCTACCTAGCGGCACTCAATGCTACATCTAGCTATGCTTGCCTTGACCTAATGGCGCTCCCTCTACACACCTCTGCATCTGTCTTCACAAGTGCTAGTGGGCTTTCATTATCATGTTCGCTGGGCGATTTGCGTCTGCCCCATCTAGGTGTGATCTACTAAGGAATAATTGTGTTCCTCAATGTGCTTGGACCTAGGGATCTACATCTTCATCCTGATCTACTTGTCTTCAAACACTGCCACTTTGTGGGAACAAGCGCCTTGGGACATTTTACATGCTTGCTTCATCATTAGTGTCCAAGATGATGTCCTTACAATCTTGAGTTCAATGGTTATAAGTTTTGGTTCATTCACTACTATTTTGACATCATGCCTCATTGCCTCCCTTGAATAAAGGCCATTTGTTAGGTTCCTTACTGTTGTCTCCACTGCCTCCCTTGAATAAAGAGGGTAAAAACAAATTGTTAGAATTATGTATCCGTGGATTCAAGAACTCCAAAAAAATTTCCAAAAGAAAAATTATTTTACAGGTAAAGAGCTCACCTTCGATAGTTTTAATGAGACTTATTCTCATGGTATTCACTAATTGTTTGTTAAGAGGGAGGGCTAATAGTCGCGAGCCTCATGTTAGGACCAGTAAGTTACCATGAAATATGGCTTGCACGACCAAGTGCTTTTAATTATTATTTTTCATATCAATATTCTTATTGACAACGATGGCCTTCACCCTTTCACTAAGGGAAGGGTTTGAATTGTTCTCTTCATAGGTCATTTGATAGGTGCAATGGCCTTTATAAATGCCTCAAACTTGGACTTCTTTGCAATATTGACATAAGTAGCAATTGCACCACTCTTTTTCTCAGTGACTCAAGATTTTAAACTGCCAATTTGCATCTTCCCTAACTCTGTAGGATCATTCCTTCTCTTGATCCTATCTTGCTCTGTTTTGGTCATTGAAAGCAAGGATAGGGGATCAACCTTCTCAATGAACTTAAAGTTTAGTCATGGGTTTCTAACGTCTTTTAAGCTCAGGATTGCCTTGGCCTCTTTGCTTAACTTGCAAACATTTTCTCCAACTCCTCTATTCAGACCTTTAGTTTGAAGATCTCAATGGTGGGTAAGTCTAGAGTGGTGGGGAACTTCAATTCCTTGTTCAACTTTACAAAAAAGTATTAGCTTTTTCACCCTTTGTTGGAAGAAGGTAGGTAGACAATGCTCAAGGTTGGGAAGATCATGCCGAGAAGAAAAAAGATTCCTTTTAGACATCTTATTTCAAGGAAGAGCAAAAGTTGTGGTGTCAACATGAGAGAATTTAAATGTGATTTATTTTTTTGAGTAGAATATATGGTGGAACCCTAATGGGGTATTGATGTATAATTTCAGAATACGAAGTATCACATATTAATTGCCTGCCATCATCATTGCTCAAATCTTAAAGAATCTTTGACAAGTTATGAGCACAAATCTTAGTTGAGTAGTCATATTCTAGCGAATGTAAATAGTAAGAAACCTCTATTACGGCATTTAATATATTGAGCAATTCTCCCTGGGAAGTTGATAAAAATTTCTCAATAATTCATCTACAAGGTAATACACATTGAAAGCTCTCGAATAACATGATTGATGGTTGACGATAGCTTCCCTAAATACTAAAAAAATAGAGTTTACTATTTGAACATTAAGACAATGTACAACTTTGAAACCCGAAA